GAGCTCAGGAGTTTGAGACCAGCCTGAGCAAGAGCAAGATGCCATCTCTACTAAAAATAGAAAAATTTAGCTGGGCATGGTGGTGCCCACCTGTAGTATCAGCTACTCAGAAGGCTGAGGCAGGAAGATTGCTTGAGCCCAGGAGTTTGAGGTGAGCTAGGCTGACACCACGGCACTGTAGCCCAGGTGACAGAATAAGACTCTGTCTCAAAAAAAAAAAAAAAAAAGATAGATTATCCCTAATAATATTTCTTTACCTTTTCATTAACTCTGCAATGACTTTGGTGCTTACTAAAATATTTGTTCAGTTATTGAGAGGATACTTTTTATTTTTCTTACAGTTGTTACCAAATTTATACCATGTTGGTGGTGCGTCTTGGGCAGGAGCCACTGGCTTATTATCCAGTCCAATTCAGGAGACCCTGGAATCAATGGCTGGTGAAGTTACAAGAGTTGTTGATGAACAACTAAAGGTTTGTGGGTTTTGTTATTTAACTATGTGCGATAGCATTTCATACCATAATATCTATGTTTCATAGATTTGTGGGGTGGTTCTGTGCGTGGCAGACAGATACACCTGTGGTAAAAATTAAATACTATGTCTTTTCCAGCTTCACTTATAAGTTTTGGGATAACTTCTTACATACTTCAAGTAAAAATCAATTTCATTTTTAATGGTAAACCTCTAAATGTACTTTATCTGATAGGTTGCCACTGATAAGGGAATGGGTGATTTCTACTTAGACTTGGGCAGAAAGAGAAGTATCTTTCAGGAAAAATTATCTTCTTTTACGGTTTTTTAATTGATTAATTAAGTTTTTGGAGGCAAGTTCTCACTCTGCCACAAGCTAGAGTACAGTGGTGTTATTATTGTTCACTGTAGCCTTGAACTCCTGGGCTCAGGCAATCTGCCTGCCCCAGCCTCCCAAGTAGCTGGGACTACAGACGCACACCACGCCCAACTAATTTTAAGTTTTTTGTAGAGCCTGGGTTTTGCTGTGTTGCCCAGGCTGGTCTCGAACTCCTGGCCTCAGATGATCCTTCCACCTTGGCCTCCCAAAGTGCTGGGATTACGGGACTGAGGTACCATACCCAGCCAGGAAAAATTATCTTCCGTTGTTACCTTTGATTTAGAGAATGGGAAACATGACAAGAACTATACTTGCAGTACCTACATAACTGCTTATATGAGGAGCTTGCCACTAAGTAAATAGATAACAATCCTTGTATAAAGCTGATTTAAAGACTAGAAACAGCATTTAGAATGCAGTTGCAAGGTACCCAAAATAGCAGAGACCTACCTATAGGCTCACTGACTGAAAAAAAGATAGGAAAAAAGTCTCTGAAATTTTCTGGGGGGTAGGGTAAACTAAGACTAGGTTTTTCTTAAGGTAACTTCAAAAAACAGCTACATCTGAGAAATTTTACATTCAGAAAGATTACATTATTTCCAGTCTGTTTTTCAAGGATGCCTTAAAAAACCTAGTATGAAGTTCTATAATTATTTGGTCTGTTTTCTTCTGAGAACACAATTTCCTCTGCTCATAGGGATTTGATATGCAACTCAATAAGAACTTTGCAACATGCTAATTACTCTCTTTGAAAATTAAGTTAATGAGGGAGAAAATGTTGTGGATTTTTTAGGGGTTTAATTCCCTGTCTTCCTGTGCATATAATACAGAGAGACTCTTGTGGGTCATTTTTATTTTATTTAATTGTGGTTATTTTGAATCCATGCTAAGCAGAGACAGATGGGTAGAAAAAAGGACTGTTGATTGATACAGAGTTCTGCCAGACCATTTGTTACCTAATAAATAACACTTGTTTTATCCTTCATGAATGATATAACATGTAAGAAGGATACTTTCTTACATATTTAAAACAAAATCAGCCTTGTTGCTTATTTCTGACTACAAAAAAATGAAACTTACTCTTTGTGAAATGTTTAAACAATACTAACAAGTGGAAAAGAAGAAAGTAAAAATCATCTGAAACACCAGAGATAGTGTCACTGTTAATATTTTAGTGAATTGCTGGACATGTGGTGCCTACACATACAATTTTGCATATATATGATCATACTATACACACTGATAGTAACCTTTTTATATCTTGCACAATGTCATAAATACAATTCTGGATAATGATAATCATTATTTTTAATGGCTGCATGGTATTCTATTATATGAATATACGAGCATAATTTATTTTCCAATTTCTGATTAATTCTGTTAGAGTCAATCCCTATAATTGACCCAGGGCTAGGCCAAATATTAATAGTACGTATGTTTTGTACTTTCATATATGTTTACAAACTACTGTCCAGTAGTACAAGCAATTGCTCATTTTGCTATGTCCTCCGCAATACTAAGTATTTAATATTTCAATATTTTTCAATGTAAGCTGGTTGCATTGACACATATCTGTTGTCCCAGATACTCAGGAGGCTGAGGTGGAAGGATTGTTTGAGCCTAGGAGTTCAGGTCCAACCTGGGCAACATTGTGAGACCCTATGTCTCTAAAAACAAAACAAAACAAAATTTTCAATGTAGTGAGTAAAAAATAAAAATCTCAGTGTATCTTTCGGATTTCTTCAATAACCTAGTGATTCATTAAGTAATTTTATTATCCATTTGTATTTCTTCTTTTGCGAAGTACCTATTTATATCTATTGCCTAATTTTTTTCTTTAAAATATTTATAAGCACTTCTTCCATACTAAGACGTGGCTGGCATTTAAATTAGTGTGAAACATTGCAGCAAGACCTTCACTGTCAAAGAGCTTCAAAGTTGTCAATTGTTATTTCCAATGGGTCTGAATTATAGATTATCCCTCATACCTTCGCTGTCTATTTCCTTTCCATCTCATCAAACCATTGAAATGGACTCCTGCCAGTCTTAGAAGGGAATAGAAGGTAAATATCAGCCAGGTGTGGTGGCTCATCCCTATAATCCTAGCACTCTGGGAGGCTGAGGCAGGAGAATTGCTTGAGGTCAGGAGTTCAAGACCAGCCTGACCAAGAGAATGAGACCCCATCTCGACTAAAAATAGAAAAATTAGCTGGGCATCATGGTGGGTGCCTGTAGTCCCAGCTACCTGGGGGCTGAGGCAGGAAGATCACTTGAGCCCAGGGGTTTGAGGTTGCAGTGAACTGTGATGATGCCACTGCACGCTAGCTGGGGTGACAGAGCAAGACTTTGTCTCAAAAA